TTGCTGGCAACATCAAAACCTCGGCGTTGCAGGACTGCAGGGCTGAAAGCACCACTGCACTGGAGCAGTGCCTGAAGCTTGATCAGCTTCCTACAACATAAATTAGGAGTAAATGCATTTAAAAAAATTAGGAGTAAATGCGATTAACGCGCTGCTTTGAGAGACACTAGCTTACAGGCGCAAGAAGGTGAGTCAAAGCTGGGGTCACTCCCACAGGCTGCCTTTTATACTAAACAGACTCAGTTTAATGATGTCATCAGAAGGAGTCTAACCCATCCTGGGCTCTTGCAGCAGCATGAAGGAGAAATATCCAGTTCCTGCAATCATTCATTCATCATATATTTTAGTCTCCAGACTCCTGTTCATCTTTATTGGTCTTCTCTGTACTTCTCTGTACTGTGAGTTAGCTCCATTCCTATTAATGTTCTAGAAATACCTTAAGACCTAATTATATTATTAGAGCTGGAGGTCCAAGAGATTGGTAATATTCTTACAGGAAACTCTTTTTTAACACTCCATATCAATTTGTCTGATACTTGTCAAAAGTGTGCCATTATTGCTATATAATTTATTTCATTTTGTCTCCAAACTATAAAGTTTAGACCTTAAAAATATAAAATAATCAATGAACATAGTTTGTATCAATTTCTAACAATGCAAAAACATTTCCTCCCATACTTGTAGTGGTCATCAAATCAAATTATACTGTTTCTAAAATGACTAGCAGTTCTCATGGGTGACTTTTGCATGTTCTTAATGTATTTGTTAATCAATACTTAGAAGAATAGATTATTATGCTTCTACAAAGTAATTATTATCATTTTCATGTCTATAACTGTCTGGTTTGGCACAGCAACCAAACAAGATCAACACAGACTTCAACAGATAGTTAGGACTGCAAAAAAAAAATGTAACAAGTCTGCCATCCTTTGGGTACCTGTATGCTGCACAAGCCAGAAAGAGGTCTATGAAAATATCTACAGGCCCTCCACAACCTGAATACAAACTGTTTCAACTTCTTCCCTCAAGGTGATTCTATAGAGATACTGCAAGCCAAAACTAGACAAGGGCAGTTTTTTTTTCTCATGCCATTCTGTTAAACAGCTAATTCCCACAGCACTGCCTTATGGCCTAAGATATCAAACCACTTAATAAAGTTGTATTCATACTATTATCCTTCTCATCTTTCCTATTACCAATTTTCCTTAGTTTCTTCTAAACAAACTTCTATACAAACTTTTTTGTTTATATTTTATGATTTATGTTTATTGCTTTTGTTAGTATCCTATTACGGTATGATTTAGGTTGATTGCTTATTTAGTATTCGATGACTATCACTGAGTGTTGTATCTTATGATTTATAATTGTACTTTATTATTATGATCATGATTTATCACTTGTTGCTTGTATGTACACTGAGAGCTTAAGGCGTTAGAAGCAAATTCCTTGGGTGTCCAATCACACTTGGCCAATAAAGAATTCTATTATACTCTAAAATTTGTAACTTCTTCCAATATTAAGCAAGATAATGCTGTATAAAATACCTGGATAAGAAATTTCAAATAAGATATGACATCCAAGGTGAAGTACAGAACAAAATAACTTTCAACTATACTGAAACAGTTCTTATTTTCAATTTTAATTCTGTAACTCCAACCCCCTAATAGAAAGGTACTATCAATGGATTCTGTACTTACAGTAATAAAATTATCATACTCATGTAAAACAAGAGACTAATATTTGAATATTCTGTTAAAAATGCTATACAATTGGGATATGCAAAACATTTCAATGTCAAGAAATTTAATTCAAGCATTCCAAGCTTAAGACATACACAGATGTATTCCAAAGTCTGAAATGAAACTGGAAGAAAGCACACATCTGATTATTTCAAACAATGTTAAGCTGATTTAAAAACTGTTTACTGTTTTTTGTTTTCAACTGAATTTTTCTTTCATAAATTTTCCATCCTACTAATAAGGCAGCAAGGACTCCTATTCCTATTTGTATTGGTTTAGATTGAATATTGGGCTGAAGTTTGAGAATAAAGTGAACTATGGGGTCGGGAACAGCCCTAACTACTCAAAGACATCTGACTCCCAAGTAACTTTTTTAAAAATGGAGACATTACTTATCAATGTGCTGCTGTATCTTCAACTGCATTTTACTTTGCAGAGGGATAATGAAGGGGTAGAGTCAGTTAGTTGTAGTTTCAGGCTAGAAACTGAGACCATGAGTTTCAGGCTTACCTTAGGCACAAAGCCAGCTAAGTGATCTTGCACTCAGCCCTGGGAAGGATGCAATGGCAAACCACTTCTTTAAAATGCTGAAACCAGAAGATTCTGTATTATGTTAGGAGCGTGAATGAGTTACGCTTTCATCTTTCTAAACCACTAAAGATTTGTTTCTATTTAACTTCTATTACTAGTTTTCAAGGTACATATCTATGAACATGAAAGAATGTTGCATTTTGCTGTAAGCTTTTCTGATTTACTTACTGGTTGCAGAACAGGATTTCAAGGGAGACGTTTTTGTAGTATTGTATTTTTCTGCATATTTATATGTATTTAAATTATAAATACAACATTATGTTTAGCCAAAACATAATGGACTTTTTGTTAAGTTCTTTATTAGAAACAAAAAGCCAACTCTTTAGCAATGAATAAGGTTTGCACTGGTTAACTGAGCTTTATCTTTCCAGAAGCAAGTCACACCTGTTGGTGTTAAAATGTCTGTTAAAGTAGGTGCTAAGGGAAAGAAGGTAGCTGAACAATTAGCTCTGGTGACTGAATGCCTCAGTGAGAAATGATGTTTGGAACTGAAAACTGGATTCTGATTTAATTCTATGTTAGAGGAAATTTCTTTTTTAAATTTTCAAAAATTGATTTTTTGGAATCCATGATTTTTCTGCAAGTTTGAATTTTGTGCTCCTCAATTATTGAACTGTCAATTATTTCACTCATCAAAGGCAATGAATATGTGTGCACCAAAATTACAAAAAATGTCTGCATATGGCATGTTCTCCTGAAAGTTTTGTTTTGCACAGAAATATAGGTTTATCATAATTTCTATACAAATTGGAGCATATCAAATTTTATTTATCATCTACCAAAATATCAATAATCCAAAGAATTAATCCTCAATGTGTATGCCATAACTCACCAAGAACTGGGAGCAGTAAATAATCAAAAAGTAAACTTATGCAGGGGGTTCATTTCTATTTTTTTTATTCTACGTAGGAAGCCATCCAAAAAGGACTTATGTACATACTGTCTGCTATAGTTGGCAGAATTATCCCTATTAGTCTAGCTCAGGAATGGGGAACCTATAACTCTCCTGATGATGTTGAACTTTAATCTGCAGTTGCACTAGCCACTTCGGCTAACAGTGACAAATGCTGGGAAGATCACAGCTATCCATTCTTGTCTTAACTGAAAATGCAAAGGACTAGTAATAATTTTTGAATATAAACTAAAGTCTTCACCATTGAACTATGTATTCTCTTGCAAATCTGAAACTCAATTCAATAATCAATTCCCTCTAGTAGTACTGGTAGTAGTAGCAGTAGTAGTAGTAGTAGTAATAGCAGCAGCAGTGTGTAATGGTTATAACACATCTGTAGCTGTAACAAACCAATCAGTAATAAAAATGAATGTGGTTTTATCCAAAGTAAGCTGGCCATTGACTGTTGAATGGAATACAATTTTAATAAATTATTTACTGTAAATACTATTTTTAACTCAACATTCTCAACTGCTACCAAGCCAATAACAAATAATCCCTAATCAGATTCAAAAGTCAGACAAATACATAAGGTTGGAAAGTTTTAAACATTCCAGTACTAATAAAAGTTAAATATTGCAGTATCAATTAAGGTTTACATCAGAAAATAATTTTCTCCATGGAAATATTTTGTATTTTTAAGATGTGAAAAGATCTACAACAATATCAGTTTATCATAACAATTTTATCTTAACAATTTTTCTATTTAAGTTGACCAATTTGGTTACAAATCAGAAATTTCAGATGCTATTTTATGGATACCAGCTTCAATCCTTAGTATAATTGTGCCATGCGGTGTTAAGATTCAAAGAAAATAGGATTCCATGTTACTTCATTTAAATAGAAATATAAGCAAGCATAGTACCCAACCATTCAGTCCCCAAAACATGGAATATTCTACATGTTTTCATGTGAAAACAAGCTATACTTTCTCTTCCAAAATTTTGTTGCTCAATATAGAATGGATTAGGGATTGAAGATATGGGACAAATGTGCACAATCTAAATTTTGTGCGTAGTTAAATATATCCAATGCTGACTTCTTGAAAGGAATGTTTAGGTACTATTTGATTTCAACTAGTTTCCATACTAAGGCTAAGAAATTATTTTAATATTATATGTTTGCCAACATTTGAAGATTAGTGATGTGTAAAATTTGATGATCTGGGAATGAAAATTCCAGTGTATTCTAAAATATTTTGTTTACTTAGTCCATACCATTTCTGAGACCGTTTGGCAGATTTTGCAAGCAAAGACACTGAGTTGGAAGCAGTTTAAAATTTGCTGGAATTGTCTGGCGCCAAAGCAGATCTGCTTCATCCAGAACACCATCTTTGGATGATCTCAAAATACTCCTGAAATAGTATGCTCTGTAGGAGAATGCTACAGAATGTTCCATTTTAAGATTGAAAAAATTCTGATTCCTAATGGATAGTTTAATATTCAGACAGAAAAAATAAAAAGTTCATGATTATCTTTTCAATAAGGTTTTAAAATAAGACAGAAAAATTATAATGACTTAAACCAGCCTTTCTCAATCATATTCTTCTACAGAAATTCTTTTTGGGTCATAGGAAATCCCTGCATAAAAACCATAAATATAAAAATTTCAAAATACATTTCTAACCCCACACTCCACATTTTACAATGGTTATGCCAACAGCAAAGTAACCAATCCTCAGTCCAGGTTTTAAAATTTCCATTGCTGTAAGTATTTACCTGAGTAGATTTGTCCTTCATGCATGAAGGATAATGTATATGAGGATCTCGGGGCCACTGTCCTGTGAGGTAAGGTCCTGTTATTGTATCCAATGAAGAGGTCCGTCTTATAGTACTAGATGTTCTAATTTGCTGGACTTTTGGCTTGTCCACTGAAACAAAAACATATTATATGCAAGATTATAAGTATAGGGTTATAGTTTCCATCCTGTTTTCAGTGTGACAATTTACACAAAAGATCAATGAATTACCAACAATCTCTTTCATTTACAATTTCATTCTACATCTTTTTTCTCAAGGAATTCCAGCAATTAGAATATTATGATAGAAGAAATATGCATGCTACAATAGACTATTGTCAAGATAAAACTTAGTTTCTTTATTCATCCTTATTTCTTTTAGATACTTCTATTTAAAATCTAAGCTTTTATGATATTTCTTTTGAGAGCATACATTTTGATAAACAAATTTGAACACTTAAACCAAGCATGTATGTGGCTTGCCTTTTTACTGGTTTTATTAAGGAAAAGAACTATTCTACGTGGCATGGCTTGGGTTTATGGTACAGTGAAAATTTTCAATATTTCTGCATAAATATGACATAAAACATGATGTGTATTCCATACAAGTCCTAAAATTAAATAAAGAGAACCTAATTAAATAAATGCACCAAAAACATTACATTTGTTCATTTCTTCATTGAGGACAATCTCAAACTATTTATTAGTGTGTAATAAAATTATATGAGTCTTTGCTTTCAGTAATTGGCATGCTCCTTTGGTTGCAATAACTGCAACAATATGTTTATGGTAACCGTTGATCAGTCCTGCATGTAGGCTGAGGCTTTTTAGTCCTTGACTCCTTAACAGACAGTATCAAGGTGGGCTTCTTCACATGAACTTCCCGCTTCTGGTCCTATCACTATACTTCTAATAGGATTAATGCCCAGACTTTGACTTGGCCATTCCAAACATTAGCTTTCTTCTGCTTTCACCATGCATTTATACTACAACTTGTATGTTTTGTATCATCGTCTCACTACATGACCCACTTTTTTTTCAGCTTCAGTTCACTGACAGATACCCTGATTTTCCTGTAGAATTTGTTGGTACAATTCATTATTCATAGTTCCATCAAAGATAGCGGGTTGCCCTATGTCAGAGGAAGCAAAGCAGGCCCAAATTAAGATAATGCCAGTACCATTCTTAGGCTGAAATGTTTGCCTTTCAACAAACATAACATTTTTCATTCAAGTAAAAAAACCCTATTTTAATCTCCTCCATTCACAGAACATTCTTACAACAGCCTTCTGCCTTATCCATATGGCCTTTTGCAAACTGCAGTTGGGCAGTTTCAGTGATCTCCTGATGGTGGTCTCATAAACCTGACATTTGCCAATGCCAATGCAAAAGAGGCATTTAATTCTTCAGAAGTTAGCATGAGCTTCTTTGAGTCCTCCTAAAATATTATACAACTTCCCTTGATGTGATCTTGTTTTTCAGACATTCCCAGGGAGAGTAAAAAGGCATTGCACTGCCTCCATCTGTTCATGATTTGCCTGACAGCGAACTGGTAGAGTCCAAAACCTTTCAAATAGTTCTGTAACTTTTTCTAATCTGGTGAGTATCAACAACCATTTTTAGTTGTTTGCATAAATTTATTTTGTTACATTTATGGCACATTTTCACATACCTATGTTGTGAAAATCAAATTCAAATAGCGCATTCCTAATATTCTGACCTCCTACAATGGATTAATCTTCTATCAATTGCAACATGATTCTAATTTCCCCACTGGATGCATCCTAGAGGTTTATATGCTTCAATCTTAGAAATTTAAAAACTAAGCATCATGTAAAAATATATGAAAATATTTTTAAAACAATTTTGTTTCCAAAGTTATGATAGTTGTGACAGCTATGTATTTAGACAAATACTATTAAGAAAATAAAGCTTTCTGTTAGGAATATAGAATCTTGACATTTTCTTTCAGCACACCTAATTTATTTCCTTTATGCAATATAAAAATTTCCCCAATTACACATATAAGGTATTATATAAAATCCACATTTGCAAGATTTTCCATTTCCATTCTCTTGTCAGGGGTTCCCAATCCATAGACGATGGACCAGCACTGGTCCATGGCCCAAGAGGAATCAAACTGTGCAAGCGAGCAAAGCCCCATCTGTGTACCCGTGGGATCCAGACCGCATGTGAATTCACACCCGCACTCTGTTGCAGAAAAACTGCCCTCCACAGAACCAGTCTCCAGCACCTATAAGGTTGGGGATCACTGTTCTAAATCATTCTGCTAGAATGGATCAAAAAGATAACATACTAATAAAACATTTCATTTATTAAATACAGGCATGATATTCCGCTCTGAAAAAAAAATCGGGGCCGGCCAAAAGAGACCCCCCACCGCGCGCCCGGGGAGCGCCCGCTGCTTTCCCTCGCCAGGGCCGGGCGGTGGCATGTTGCACGGAGGCTGGTCTGTGGCTGGCCCAGCTCCCTTTTCCTGCCGCTCAGCGGCCTCCGCTCGCACCGCCCGGGCTCCGCTCAGGTATCCAGCTGGGGCTGTCAGGAGTTGCTACCGCCGGCGCAGCTCCACGCGGCTCCAGTCCCACGTTGCCTTGGGAAGGGAAAGGCAAAACCAGGAGCCGCTGCTGCCGTTGCAAAGCGCCGCCGCGGCTCTTCCTTTTTGCCTTTCCCTTCCTGAGGCAACGCGGGACTGGAGCCGCGCCAGCAACTCCTGACTCAGGGCCTCCGAGGGGAGGGGAAGGAGAAGAAGGGGGGAAGGGGGGGATTCCCAAAAAAATCGGAATTCCGATTTTAATCGGAAGAATATCATGCCTGTAAATATGAAAGTTACATATGGATTGGGGAAAACATACCATGGAAATGCCATCTTTAGTAATAAGACTATACACTATACACTACACACACACAGTAGAATCTCAGGTTGCGACCATAATCCGTTCCAGGATTATGGTTGCAACCTGATTTGGTCGTGACTGGAAATACGACCGTCTGCACATGCATGGATCAAAAAAACTAACAAAAATTGGCACCAAAGGGGAAATCGCCGTGGCAGGGAAAATTGCAATTTTCAGGCTTGGTTGGTCACCACCCGAAGTTCTATTTGTGACCACAAGCAAAACAGTAGCAAAAATACTGGTTGTCACCCGAGGTTCCACTGTATATGCACATACCCCCATACACACATACACACACTTTCCCCCCAAAATAAGACCCTGTCTTATTTTTTTTGCCACCCAAAAAAGCACCCAATCTATTTTCAGCGGATGTCGTCCACTGACTCACCTCACTTGTGCGCATCTTCCCCGACCGCCTTTTCACTGTCAGAGGCTTTTAGGAACTTTTTCTGCGGCTGGCAAGGCTTTCCTAAAGGCCTCTGCAGCCAATAACAGAGCCCCAGATTGATCCAAGCTCTACTATCAGCTACAGAGGCCTTCAGGAAAGCCTTGCCAGCTGCAGGAGAAATGGGCCAGCAGGGCAGGTGTCAGGATGTGAGAGGCCTGGATGCAACTATCCAAAGGTTTAGTAGTAGGGCAGCTTCACCCCTCATCCCCACCCTAGCTTAATTTTTACTTGTGCACCCTGCTGTGGGCAGGGTCTTAATTATTGGGGGGGGTTAGGGCTTACATTGATACATACAAAAATCAAGCTAGGACTTACTTTCACGGTAGGGCATATTTTTGGGGAAACTGTGTGTGTGTGTGTGTGTGTGTGCACGCGCATGTGTGTATAATATCCATTTATACGCCAATCTTCTGCCTTGTCCAGATCTATCACCTCAATATCTTAACTTAATTTATATTTGCAATTTTGAGAGTCATTTAAGTTCTTTTTGCAATTTGTTTAATTAAATGTCTAATGTAAATTCAAAATGAGGCAATTTACAGTATGTTTTTAACCATTTTATATTTTGTACTATATAATCTAATAATCTTTTAATAGTATATATACCATAGATATAATCAACTGCTTGTTAGCAGAAAAAAATGTCTTATGATCAAAAATAATGATATGATTACAGTAATATAATTAAATCTGAGGGAGACAGAGAAAGAGAAAAGTAAAAAATCAGAATACAGGGTATATCTAGCTCCATAGTAGGAATCGGACAACTATAATGCTTTTGCGTATAACGTTTAGATATCTTTTTAAACCCCTTTTTTAGACTCCTACTTTCTCCTGTCTTAAAATTCCTCTCTCCTTTATCGATTAAAATTGTGTAGACACTTTATGAAAAGTATCTAATGAAACAAAAACTATTTATAATATCACTAGTAATCTCCCTTCCCCACCTCTCAAGAAAAAATAGCAAATTTTTACACATTATAACAGAAACTTGGTGGTATATTACAAATAATACTAAAATATTAGTACTTAGCAATAGGACTTATATACCACTTCACAGTGCTTTCCATTCCTCTATAAGCAGGTTTCAGAGTCAGCATATTGCGCCCAATCTGGATACTCATTTTACTGACCTCAAAAGGATGGAAGGCTGAGTCAACCTTGAACCAGTGAGAACTGCTGGCATTTGGCAGAATTAGTCTGTGCCATCACAAAATAATACTAGTTATATGTGGGATCAGGAAAGAAAAAAACTGCTTTAAAAGTTCTTGTTCAAAATAGAAAAGCAAAATAGAAATGTAATTATCAAAGCCTAAATTGAAATGCAAGGGACATTTCTTCCCCTGCCTCGGGCTATGGGAAAGTTAGGGATTTTGGTGAATTAAAGGCAGAGATATGTACATTAATATTGAGCATGTTCCAAGTGTTATTATGCCTTTCAATATATTTTTAATTTGAATAAAATATATTATTCTCTTTCTTCACAATCTAAAGATTGTGGAATGATAATTAAGAATGGAGAAAAAGACATAGAAAATTCCAATATTTTTAGAAAGGAGAACAAAATATTTTTTTAGGGTTTAAGACTAGGAAAGTTTCTATTTTTCTTTCTCTTGTGAAAGGCAGTAAAAATATTCAATGCTGATCAGACTTTCAAAAAAAAAAAACCCTGCCAACAATTATTTTTATAGCTACCACCCTTCCTGCTATAAGCATGTAAAAATACATTGCTCAAAAAAAATAAAGGGAACACTTAAACAACACAATGT